CCAGCGCAGGAGCCTAGCCAAATCATAAAGATTTTGGTTCGCTAAGTCAGAATCTTTAATCAGAAGTTAAATGTTGGTTATGTTTTCTTCTAACCTAATTATTATTGTTATTGTTGGGGATATGTACATTAGGGTGGTTAAAAAAAGAAGTCAGATCTGTAATGCTCTCACCCCCTAGGACTGTTCTATATCGAAAAAAAGTATACCCATATTTTTTTATTTTGAAATCAAAAAATATTAAGAGGTCGCTCAAAGCGCTAAAGTTCTTAATGTATTTTTATATGGGAAAAATACATTTTTTCGTAGAAATAGATATAGATAATATAAAATTCTTGAAAGTCAATATTTTTCGATCGGAAAATTCTGGTTCTCTTCAGGAGACTTTCAATAATAATACGGAATTGTTTATTTAACCATTTTTTAATCCTAACGATTTTTTATTGGTCGCCCCACATTGCATTTTTCGGGGGTTTTGTGGGTTTTTGGCGGACCTATAAATTATAGTTGCAATGAAAAAATGTTTAAATAAACAAGTGGGTATTATTAATGGGAAAAGTTGTTTTTTTATCCATATAAAATACATGGAAAATTTTGGGCGCTTTGAGCGACCTCTAAATATTTTTTAATTCCAAAATAAAAAAATAAGGGTTGTTGTTGTTGTTGTAGCGGCACTACCAAGCCCCGCTTTTTTCGGGTCTACGTTCAATCATTCTCGTCAAGTTCAACTAACGGGAGGCCCAGGAAACAAGCTGTTTCAATGGGTTCGGACCAGAGGGAGAGGGGTGTTAGCTGAGTCGGATTGAGCTGGCATGTAAAGAGGTGGTTGGTGTCGTGGGGGGATTCTCCACATGCCGGGCACTCATTGGGGATATTGGGGTCGAGTCTGGACAGGTAGCTGTTGAGGCGGCTACAGTATCCAGACCGTAATTGAGCCAGGGTAACGCGGGTCTCTCTTGGCAGTTGAAGCTCAGTCTCTTCTACAGGTGGGTGATTGGGCTCCTATTACGGCATTCATAGGTCGAGAGTCGAGGTAGGTGGTAACTGACTCTCTATGAATGTCGTTGATGGCTCGTCTGTATGTCGTCGGGTCCAGTGGTTGGTCTACGTATTGTTGGACTGCGTCCTTGTATACGAATAGGTGTGCCCTGACGTGCCTGGGCGGAGTCCCCTCCTGAAGCAAAGGTCTGTTTGGGTGCTCACTTCTGTGACACCCCACCAGAAATTGTTTACAAAGCATTTTGTTGTGTTCCCTTACGGGGAGCACTTGGGCCTCGCTGTGTAGGTAGGTGCTCAGGCGTCATCAGAAGGCACCCAGTCGCCGTCCGGAGTGCGGCGTTCTGACAAGTCTGTAGCTTCGTCCACTGCGTCCAACTAGTCCCCGGCGTCCAAACTGGCGCAGCATAGTTTAGAACCGGCCAGCCAATAGCCTTGCATGTTGCCAGCAACGTTTCTTTGTCTTTGCCTCAAGTGCTGCCGGCGAGCGACTTGAGGACCTTGTTGCAGCTCTGTACTTTATTGACAACTGCGGTTGTGTGCCTGGAGTAGGAGAGCAGGCTATCGTAGGTGACCCCTAAAATTTTCGGGTTAATTACAGTCGGGGTTCCACAAGGTGGTGTTCTCTCCCCCTTACTATTTAACTTCTACATCTCGAAGCTTCCTCAACCACCGGAGGGAGTTTCCCTGATCTCATACGCTGACGATTGCTCGATTTTGGCGTCCGGGAATGGAATTGATGACCTCTGCTCAAAAGTGAACGACTATCTCTCCAGCCTTTCTCGCTTCTTCACTGCAAGGAGCCTAACACTCTCCCCAACGAAATCAACGGCGACCCTCTTCACCACCTGGACGAAGGAGGTCAGGCTAGAGTTAGGTATACACGTCGATGGCACACCAATACCGACTGTAAAAAAATAAGGGTATATTTTTTCGGTATAGAACAATCCTAGGAGGTGAGAGCATAAAAAAATCCGATTTACTGGCGATTGGCCACACCATATGCCAACTTCTCAGACATATAAAAATTTTTGTTTTTTCTCATATAATTAACATATATTGAAAACTTTGAGCGACCACTAAATATTTTTTGGTTTTCAGATAAACAGGGGTATATTTGTATTTCAATATAAAACAACCCTTGGGATCTTACTAACTCAGAAGCTGGTTTTCAATTCCTTATTTTTATGACAAAAGAGGCTGCATTAAAATACCTTTTAAACATTTGAACTAGTCTCGAATAGTTCAGTGCGAGTTCCGAAAAAGTTGTGAACCAGTCCCAAAGGGTCCTAAATAGCCCCAAAATGGTCATGAACAGGCCGCGAAACGGTCGAAAAAGTCGTGACCTTGTCCCGAAGTGTTATCGAACTTATAAATCCCAAAATGATCCCGAACTAGGCCAGAAATGGCACTTAACTAATCCTGAGCTAGTCCCGAAATGTTTCTGAACTAGTTTCAAAATGGTCGTGAACTTGGTCTTGAAGAGGTCCAAAAATGATCCCGATTTAGACCCGAAATGTTTATTTGTTATAGTTACAAATCTTCTGCTGGGTTAACGCAAATTTTAGCTTTACCGAGAGCTAAGATGTATACACATAAAATAAAAAATTAGTTTAAAAAACTAAAACCTCGCTATTAAAATTTCCATTCGTACTGTCATCAGGTATCTAACTTGAGAATGGAAATCGCTGCATCTTTTAGGCGTAATTACATAGCTACATCCCAAGCTAAGAAAAGGGGGGTAAAATAAGAAGTCAGGTGTTCTAACGCTACCTACATGTCTGTTTAATAAGCTTATAAGCTTATTTTCAAAAATAATATTCATGGCTATATTCCAGTATTCGACGGATCCCATTCGTAAAAACTAAGATTCGCATTGTCGATAATAAGCGAGTGTGAAGAAATAGATACCCGCGAATGGAATCCGCAACCTATTTAAATAAATTGGAAATTAAAAAATGTTTAAAAGTGTATTTTCATAAGAAAATTCAAATTTGGACTGAGTTCTCGGTTTTAATGGTTTGAAAACAAATAATATAGTACATACACATTATGTATATCCAAACATGAAAAATAAAACAAGAACATTAAACAAAAATAATAGAAAAATGATAACTTCATTACAGTTTAAAAAAGGGCCGGAAATAATTTGGTATAATGAACGAAACTGAAAAAAAGATGGAGTTACATGCCATTTCTGAATATCTCGATTTACTAAGCCTGCCGTGGCTCAAAACAACGGTACTGTTCAGGAGCGGCGTTTAAAGTTTTCAATTTACTCCCAGAAAATTACTTACAGATAACAGAGATCTAAAATTTTAGCACGAGAATGAAGCATGTTATAACGTTCGTTTTCGTTTTTTCAGTTATGACAGTCTTTAAGTAAATTAGCGATATTCATTCATATACATACATATGTGTGTATGGATATGTATATGTATGTAATATAAGAAATCCGACACTTTTTGTAAAACATATTTTTTTTTTTATTAAACAAATATCAACAAATTTATGTACATTATTTGCAAGTATTTTATGTTCCTAGTATGTATGTATGCATGTGCATTGAATATGTGCATATATGAGTGTTAATGTTTGATGTGCAATTTTTAAAAAAATTTTATGAATACATATGTTAGTTTTTATGTTATTATGAGACAATGTGTTGCTTGAAGTGTAATTATATAATATACAGCGCAGCACGAAATTTCTTTTTGTTACTTTTTTAATATATTTTTTTTGTTCAATTTTAATTTTTGTGCGTTTAAAATTATCCTTTTAATGGTCTTCATTTTCTGTTTTGGTTTTTTTGTTTACTTCATTCGCAATTATTTTCAATTCATTAATTGTTTTTCATTTTTGCATTTCAATCGATTGTACTCAAATTTCAGGCTCGTTGTTGAATTTTGAAAAAGCGCTCAGCAAGAACTCAGACTGTGATGCGAAATGAATTTCTGTTGTAAAACGCAAATCACAGCCAGAGCTCCCGTCAAGAGTTTTTCCCGTTGATAATGAATGGCATTGATTGAATGCGTTGTTGATGCGTGTGATGGAACCGAATGAGAAGCGATGTGAAAATGTACAGCGTGGCGACGACGACTACCTGTTACACAGTTTTTTTTTTTTGAAAAATAAAAGAGTCCTTTATAGATTTTGCGAAGAAAGTATATCATTGCTAATTTTGTACATATTTTAGTTGAGTTTTTGTAAATGGTTTTAAAATTTTATTCTTTATTTGAGTCTATTCGATTGCTGAGTATGAGGCCTTATGTTAGACAAAATGGGGAGTACAAAATACTCAGAATGGAAGAAATTAGCTTATGGATACAGAAGATATGGAATAATTTAACCGATGAAACTTGCGTGCCGCTTGCGATTTTCCCTCAAAGCATTTACCGCTGGTAAACCCAAATAAATGTTAAAATTTAAAAACAAATTAATAAATTTAAAGTAAAATGAAATTAACAATAAAATACTTTCTTCGCGAAATCTATAAAGAACCCTTTTATTAAAACAAAATCTGATATTCGTCGCCACGCTGTATATAGCAATGTAAGCGTACCTAAAGAAAAAAAAACACTGCAGCTGCCAACAATTGCGTTAACTCCAAAATAGTTCTGTCTGGTTTCTCTTACAAAGTTATTAGGTTTTTAACGTTTTCTTCTTGGTTTATTGTAGATGCGTGATAAATAGCAACAAAACTTATGAGAGAATACGAAAATGTATGAAATGCATGCAATTTTTTTTATAAAAAGGAAAGGTTACCAGGATTAACGCTCAAATGCAGTTGGTTTCGTATTCCAAAACAAAGAAAAAGTTAGAATAGCTGAACATAGCGAACGAGACCACACTTTCTGTTAAGCATAAAAAGCTGCGAACTGCATTTGAGTTTAAACCATGTAAGAATAAGCACTTGCTACCAAGAAAATAAACCCAAACTGCTACTACTACTACTACTACTACTACGTTGCCAAATAAAATTACTAAAACGTTAAACATTTGCTTACAGTTCGGCAATGGGCCCGGACTCAGTAGATTCAGCGAATTCGAAATGAGCGCGTTCCGGACGCCTGTGCTGCCATTCGAATCGCCCATGTGCGCCAAGTGCGAGTCCATACGACCGATGCCGCCACTATCGCTGCTGCAATGTCGACTGCCAACGATGCCGGCACCGCCAAACATTGAGGGTGTGTGCGTTATTGGCATTGACGAAGACGCCGACGCCGCCGCCGCCGCTGACGTCGATGCTGACAATGAAGTACCAGCAGCATCAGCGCTATTTTCACTTTGCCGACTATTATTCGCTGCAGCGTCTACAGCTGAGGACGAGGACAACGACGACGATGTTGTCGTGGACGTGTTTGCCGCCGCTTCCGCTGCCGTCGCTGATGTTGTGTCCTCAGCTGCTTCCTGCCCTTCCATTGCACTATTCACCATGGATACCTCTTCGTTTTTAAGACCTGACTTCCTATTGTTACTACAACTATTAAGCGTATGGTTTGTTGAATCACTATTCTGTTGCTGCTGCTGCTGCCGCTGACTACCGCTACCGCTACCACCGCCATACGCACCACCCAGCTTACGTCTGCCGAACAGTTCACAATCGAAATCTTGCTCGTAAATGCGTTCGGCTTCCGCTTGCGTCAGCACTGGCCGCGTTAAGGTGGGCTGTATATTGTAGTCGCTCGATTGCTGATGCTGTTGTTGTGTATGGTAATTGCCAACGATATCAGAATTATAATCCGTTGTATCACCGCCGATACTACCACCACCAGTACCACCATCAGCCGAACCAGCAGCAATTTGACGTGCGGCATCTTCAATTGATTTACTGAGATTTCGTTGTGCTGAACGTGCGACGACGGTTGCTGCACTGCCGGGATATGTATTGCCCGTTGACGTGCTTGAGGACGTCTTTGACGCTGAGAGTGGGGGTAAACCTGACGTGATGAATATATAAATAAAACAACAATAATAAGTATAATGTACTACACATGTAATGATTACGCGCTGGGCAATTACCTAGACGCATACGTTTATCGTCATCGAGACTAGGTGTCAACCGACTGATATCGTTGAACAGTGGATCGTTGAATTGATGCGGCTGCTGGCGATATGGCGGGGCGGCGGGCGATGAGAATGTTGGCGAATTTTCGGGTGAATTGTCGTGACAGAGAAATACGTTAATTTCGCCATTATTCTCGGCTTTAACGTAGATCTCACGTGGACAAAGTGTGTCAGGTAGCTGCAAGGAAAGCGAAGAGAAAAAAGGCGTATAAATTAGTAATGCAATCAAAATATGTAAACACAAAATAAAATATGAACTGTAGAAGTAACTGTAAAATTAAATCACAAATAATAAAATATTTCTTTTTTTTTAAATTAATTTCTACTTATTTTCGGCGGCAACTAACTTCCAGTGATTGACTTCACACACCAAAGTTCGCACCAAAATGATGAGTACGAAAATAGCCGGCGACTATTTCAGGTCTAAGTATACGCGCGAATTTTTACGCGCCGCTAACGACTGTCTGAATGCCGACAATTGCTGCTGCTTCTTGTTATTTAGACTGTCTGGTTTGGCACATACCTACAAACTCACAAGTATCTATACGCATTTTTAGGATTCGTATACATACTTATTTATGTATGTATCTACCTACAGTAAACGACTGACAGACCAATCGACGTACGATAAACGGCGACAGAGTTGGTTGACAGTGGTGTAGTTGCATAATTTTGGTATGAGGGCAAGGGAAAGAGAACAAAAGAAACGTTTTCTCGACTGACGGGTACCTATACGTAACCGGAACAAATCAGATTTATGTCTGACTTAGGGCTGTCAGTCCAGCAGCATTACCCAAATCACCTTGGGGAATTCGTATGCTGTTACAACAACAACAAAGCAAAAGGAAGGAAAGGAGAGGACAAAATGAAGTGACACGATAGGAAAGGAAGAAGTGGGAAGGCTAGAAATGGTTAGAATAGGATAGATGAGAACTAAAGGTTTGGATGAAAAAGAAACGATAAGGTATAATAGAATAGGTTAGGATAGAATGGGATGCCATGCGATGCGGTAGGAAAGAAGAGGTATCGATAAAGGAATAGCACAGGGTGAGAAAGGTGTAGTAATATGAATAGTACTAGGCGGGATATGATAAGATAAGATTGCAACGTTTTTAGCGACACAAAGCGTTTCACCGGACGTCAAGGATTTGAATTTAAATTCAGCAAACGGCTGTTACTTGAGCAAATATTTTGCGAAATCAAAAAAAAAAAAACACAAATAACAAAAAGCGCCAATAAATAAATATTCGGCGCGCGTACATTTTACTAACTGTTTGCCCAATCTTCCCTCCAATTTGTGTAGGAACTTACAAGTTTCCCCCGCCTCCAATGGCAAATGTTTTCGATGAGAAGCTTTTTTATGGCAGAAATGCACGCGGACAATACTAATACATAGTAAGAAGACTTAAAAAACAAAAAATACTGTAGGGTAAATCTCAAGGTTTGAAATTACACAAAAAGCGCTGAAACACGTAAACTTAATTTTGAGGCGTAGATTACAAATCTGTATTCCGTTTTTCTAGAAAAGGTAATTTTCCAAGATATGTATTTTTATTTTTATGAAAACAAAGATAAAACTTTATTATGGACAAAATTAAACAAGTACATAATTAAAAAAAAAAAATCTTTTATTAAAGAATACAAAAAAACACCTAACGACAAATTTTTTTGTGGAATTTTTTCTTTCCTTTTAAGCACATATTACACTTTCTAAATCGCACTATAAATAGGGATTTTGCAAATATCTCAACTCCTGCGCCTCCTATTATGGCATATTTTTGTAGAGTTATTCCTTTTCATGCAAGTAATATACATTTTCAATATGAACCATTGTGGGACCGTAAAGACGGGTTTTCAAATATCTCGATACTTAAACCACTTAGTGCCTCGGGAAGTTGGTTAAAAATGTATTCAAAGATTTGATTACACACAGGTGAAACATAATACAAGTTTGTAAAAAATAACAGACTGGCTTTTTGCCGGTGCTTTTACACAAAACCAAGCTACTAACGAATAAAATCGATGCAGAAATAAAATAGTTGTAAATGGCCAAGTGAAAATGCGTAAATTTTTTCAGTTTGAAATATGAGCAGGCAAGAAAGTTACTCATACGCCATGTAGGAGTACATATGTAATTTTTTTTTCAATTTTCCCTATTCAAGTTTGGACTTTTTCATTCACAATTTAACTCAAACTTAATATGAAAATATCTTGACCTAGAAAAAAACGTTATACAGATCTGTAATCTACGAACCAAAATTAAGTTTACGTGTCTCGGCGTTTTTCTGTGTGGTATTTTAGCGTTCCTACAGTGTAATCAGAGACAAAAAAAAGGCTAGAACAAGAATAAGTTAGCAGGGTATTTTTGAATGGCCAAACCCCCATTTTTCGCTGACGTACAAACACATAGGCCACTGTCGCACACACATGCGACGACAGGCAGTCAACGTCTGCCACATTGCCTTGGATATAGTAAATGAAAAATCTTCCTTATGACCATTTGACCAACGATGTGCTGCCAAAATGACAAATATATGTTTGCGTTATTCAACAACAAAAAAAGAAATATAGTTATGGACTTTCATTTTAGAAACGACTAAACAAGTTTAGAAGTTTTTGCGATCAGTGCAGCAAGTTGCTTGTGGGCGTTGAATTGAGTGATGCTTTTTAAAATTTTTTTTATTGCTGAATCTTTACTGGACTTTATTTTCACTTAAGAGACGAAACTTTTTATCAAGGCAATATAAATGAGTATTTTTCATTAAAAAAATTCTAACAGGAGATAAGTCATTTTTTCACACATATGCACATATTTATGTACATATGTACAGCTATCTAAATAAATAATTAAATGTATGTACACATTTTTGTATTAGCGTGCTTTTATTTTTAGAAATGATATGTCGTATTTGCGCTAAGGCAACTAAACTCGCGCATCGTTCGTGTTTTGTTGTGATTTGTATTTCATTTTATTTGTGGCGCTATTGCTGCTTTTGGCCGCCAATAAAGCTGCATCAAATTGTGTCTGCACGAGTTTTTGGCCACGCGGCAACAACAACAAGCAATACACGCAGCCAGCTAGCTAGCTGCTCTACGCGCTGGACGTTTGACTCGAATGAAATTTTGCGATTTATTGAGATTGCTGCGTTATTGTAAATGTATGTGTATACATATGTATGTATGTACATCTATGCACTCTTGTGGGTGTTAATGCGTTTTAATCACGAAGCAAATTTCAATTTACAACAAATATTTATATGTACATAAATCTGTTTATACGCGTATAAAGTTGTAAGAAATTTTAGTTTTCAACAAAATTACGAGTAGTTCTACACTTCTAGCACTTAAGCACACAAAATTGTCCGCTTCCAACGAATTTGAAATTAATTTAATTTAATTAATTCTTCAGTGTTCGTTAAATATTAAAAAAAAAAATACTACATACATATAAATAGCATAAGCATTTCAGTCAAAAGAATGCAGACAACAATGTTGTGCGGCAAATGTGTTGCTTTGACTTTTTTTATTTAATGAAATGAGTAAGCAAAAACAAGCAAATAAAATACACAATTCAATTTTGTTAGCGACAACTTTTGCTATGCCTTAATACATTTAAATCTGTCTGGGTAAAATTTCTTATTGCAAGCGAAAAAGACACGAAAATATAGCAACTTGAAATGAAGGTGCAAAACATGTGAGGAAGTCTGAAACTTTATTAATAATATTTTGCGAATCATGTGTTCTACTTTTTTTTCGTAAAAAATAATACGTTTTTAATCAAAACAGCCTTTATCATATTTGAATAATTTCCTTGTCATTATATGCGCTGTAAAGTTTTGTTTTTAATAGTGAAAAGTTGTATGCATACTATGCTCGGGGTCACACTGGGCGTATGAGTAACATTTTCAGCCTCTCTGACCATACAGCTTTACACCCAGCTATAGTAAACTAGTTATAATTACTAATAGCTACATGTAAATTCGAAATAGTTGCGAAAATATGCAACTAAAATGGATAAATATGCGAAGGCAGTGTCAAACTTATAACACCCAATTTACATGGATCAAGTACTTGAAAGCAATTTTTGCTCATTCTCTTTTGTGTTTTCTATTTGCATTTATACGCTACAATTCTGTTGAATTCAAGTTTTTGGTTCTTTAAATGGGAAAGAAAGTTGAAACGACTTGAGGGTACATTCGCATGTGTACTCGTCCCTTTTCTTCTCACCCCCTCTCTTCGACATGCGAGCAGAATTGAATTCAATACTTGATCTGTGTAAAAGCAGTCTAAGTATCATCTAGGGCATACGGGGCGTATGAGCAACTTATGTACATACATACATATGAATATCTATACTGGCTAAGTCTTGGAGTTCCGTATATACGAATAGAGTATAAATAACCGATTAATCGAACCTAAAAATTAACAATTGTTCGTGTATTACACTGTGCAACAATTTTTGGGTCATGGAATCTAACGCGGAAGCGACCAACACACATCGATAGTACTTGACTAGGAAAACAAAACTCTAAAAGCGTTTTGAAATGTCAGATCGCTTTCAAAAGTTATAGCGCGTCAAAGTTTAGCTTTTTCAGTGTATTTTTCTGCACCAATTTTTTTTCCATGGGAACTCCTCAGAATATTGTAATGGCATAAAGGCATTGAGATAGATATGGATATATATACATATATAGATGTGTTCAGAAAAGCGAGAAGAATTGATTTAGTCATGTTTGACTGTCCGTATGACCACCTGCCTGTTCTTTTGTCCGTCCGTCTGTCTGTACACATACAACTCGGTACACAGGTTGTTACTACGACAAGTGCTGTTAGTATTGAAAATGGGCGAAATTGGTCAATAACCACGCCTACTTCTCATATAACGACACTTTTGGAAAACCCTAAAAGACTCATATGTCGGCAATTAATAAAGCGAAGTTATTCAAATTTATTAAGTAGGTTGACTTTAGGGCTTGACAGCAGTTTCTACATAAGGCTTGCAATGTGAGCGTGACGACCACGCCTAATTTAAATCAAATGTTTATATGTCAAAAACTGCAACATCAAATTTATCCAAATTCAATCACATTTCTCGTGAGTTTATCTCCACATTTTGTAAAAGTGAAGACACCGCGTCTACTTTCCATATAGAAACTTTAAATATCACACTGACTTATGTACTTGTAAAACTTCAGCCTACAGGTACCAACTGAATCAGACGACCAAGGCGAGCGGTATCATCAGCTTGCTATTCCTTTCGAGATGAGGTAAACTTTTACTAAACAATAGTAGCGGAAATTTGTTGATGGAGTATGAAGACGTACGAAGAACGAGATGAAGACACGGAAGAGGAAGACAATGAATATCAATAAATTTTGTAATGAAAATTTATTTTATTTTAAATGGAAGAACCAAATTTTTGAACATCAATATCTTTTGAAAGCGAGCTAACTTTGCAAACCCCTTTCACGCTTTTGCTATTCTAGAACAGTACAATCGACCTGTGTTGGTTGTTTTTCCGTTAGAAAAATGCGTTGCACAGTGTTAATGAATTGTTCTATTTATTAACCGCCTACAAAAAAATGAGATTATCAATTGAATCGGTGAGTTCGATAACCGTACAAGTCCAAAATTTGCAATTTAAGGTAAGATAAGTGTAGCTATTTTGTTTAAAATTTGCCTCTTCATCAACTGAGCTTAAAAACCGTACTAGATACCAAGGCATGAAACCGATTCAAAATAACGTTCCGGTTTCGGTTTCGGTTTTGGATAAAAAAAAAACAAGTCTGACCAAAAAAAAAAAATTATTTATTAAATAAATATGTACCTTCCAAGGTTTGTTTTTGGCGAAATTAAATTAAATTATGACAAATTTTAATTCATATAAATAAACCACCTCTGAATCAATTACACAAACTTATAACCATATTCAACCACATTTGCTTAGATCTAATTGCAGAAATTTGTTTATTATATTATTATTTTTTATATAATGAGAGTTGTGGCTGATACATAGGTATTTGATATACATACATAAAAGTAAGTGTGAAATTTTGTTGATACTATCTATATATATATGTATATATAAATAAAATGTTTTCCGTATGACGGCGATGCCTTACCAAACGGCTGAACCGATTTTAATTCTGTAAAAAGTACTTTTTTGGAACTTCTGTGTGAAAGGTTTCTCGATTTAAAAAAAAATTTTGTTGTTGTTGCCGAAAAATGAAGAATGCTGAGACCTTACGATTTCACAATTTGCATAGAGTTTTCCGTATATTGAATGTCACAAAACTACTAAACGTCTGGACCGATTTGGTTCAAATTTCAGCCTCTTGAAGGGAAATATTCTGACAAAAAATGTAAACGCTAGATGGCGCTGGGGTCGAAATATTCCTAAAAACTGTATTTATTTGCAGATTTGGCTCATACTTAGAAAACAATTTAGCCAATTGAGAAGAAATATTTGGACTAAAAACTTACACGATAGGTGGCCTTGTGGCCGAGATATCCCCAAAAATTATTTTACGCTAAGAGAAGGATAAATATATTTGTGGAAGTGTGTATGTATGTATGTATGTGCCAGGTTGCAGCCTAAACGAACGTACAGAATCGAACGAAATTTGGACAGAGTATTGCCATGACATCTGGTCCTATAATAGGGAGAAAAAAAATAAGAATTCGACAAGGGGGCATGGCACATCCCATAGGCGTGAAATTTTTCATCAGCTATAACTTGGAAATCATAATTCACATGAACTTTGAATTTGGGATGCAGACATATCTACGGTAGGTGCTTATAAAAAAGGTATATATGTAGGAGTTTGTAAAAGGAGGCGTGGCCCGCCACATCCCGGAAGAGTGGACTTTTTATCAGCTATAAATTCGAAAGCATAAGTCACATGTACTTTAATTTGGTATGCAGGCTTAGCTATGGTAGGTGCTTATGGTAGGCTGTTAATTAATGAGTTTATAAAAGGGGGCGTGGCGCATCCCATAGGCGTGGAATTTTTCATCAGCTATAACTTCGGAACCATAAGCCCCACGAGCTTGAAATTTGGTATGCAGGTATAGATAAGGTAGGCGCTTATAAAAAGATATATATAAGTGAGTTTTTAAAAGGAGGCGTCGCACATCCCATAGGCGTGGAAGTTTTTATCAGCTATAACTTTAAAATCATAAGTCACATGAAATTGAAATTTGGTAAGCAGACATATCTTTGGTAGGTATTTATAGTAAGATATATATTAATGGGTTTACAAAAGAGGCGTGTCACATCCACTAGGCGTGGAATTTTTAAATTGCGAACCATAAGTCACATGAACCTGAAATTTGGTATGCAGACATATGTATGGGAGGTGTTTAGAATAAAGTATATATAAAAATGTTTGTAAAAGGGGGATAAATATGTATTCAACTAACAGACCACTCGGATATTTAAAACCGTGTTTTTTGTTTAACCTTACAGTCTTTAGACCATCTTGAAATGGAAAGATTAAATTATTTTAAACTTTTTCTGAAATAAGCATTCTACAGGAAAAATGCAGCTATACTAAGGACCGGTTACTCAATGTTTGGTTGACACTAATCTCCGGTTAAGCACAGCTATCGACGTTACCGACTCCCTGTTGTATGCATGGAGTCGAAGAGGTCGACAACGATGTTTAACCGCAGATTAGTGTTAATCAGACATTGAGTAACCCGCCCTAAAACAGCTAAGCGAATAGGAAGCTAAACGGAATGTATCATAGTGGGCTAATTTTAATTTAAAAATTCTATCGTTACCTTAATCCAGCTAATACTAATAATGGAAAAAGATTTTTAGTACAGAAAGTGGTGATCAATATATATTATAATTTAGAAAGAAAAGAAAATAGTTTCTCTTCTCTAATTTATGCTGATCTGAATATTTGTATTACTGTTTTATATTTTGTTTTAATTACCCCAAACGAAGTAGGGTGCTCTGCTAGTATATAATAATAATCGTTTGTTTAAAAAGAGTCACATCTTACTCGCAAAAGCTAACAAATTTATTTAAATATTTGTAGCCCATACAATTGATTAGTTCTTATCAATGAAATCGTATCCACTACATTATACAGCAAAAGTACGATGGTGCTGGTATGTGAAGATCGCATTGGCATCATCGGCCTTAGTACCCGGTTCAACATCCGACGACAGCAGGTTCCGCGTACCGGAACGCCTCGGGTTTTCCCCGACCAAGGGCTGCTGTTTCGGCGATCTAACCCTGTTTAGACCGGTGAACATTTTTAACCGTCGTTCGTCCTGGGGCAACAACTTGTAGTAGGGTTGTTCCCCATCCTTTTTCTCCGGGCTGGCGTCAATGCAAACCCCGGACCAGAATCTATTTTTGCTACGGAATGGAAGAAGAAGTGGACCACGTCTTTTGTGGCTGTATGTAACTCAAGGCACACTGCCTCCACGGCAACCTACAACTTTCGCAATGCGCCGGTGCCTCCAAACACTCAAACAGCCTGAATGGTTCTTCTGAGCTCAACATAACTCCAAGCAGCGCATGTGAAGCAGTGGTGTAATTATACTCGGCATAGAGCGCATAATCTCCCAGAATCAGCTGTTCAGTGTAATCTGTTAGTCTGTTCCAGTACTCCACGATTTAGTTACGAATACATAACTGAAGAATGCGTATGCATAGCCTAAATGAAGTCGACACTATTGTTAGTTGCTGCTTTTGTCAAATGAAATGGCGGCAACTAACTTTATAATCGACTTTGTTTCGACTATAAATATGTCCCAATGCTAGGGTATGTACAAGAACGGCTTCTCAATAATTCTTGTAAATCTGATGGGTACTGGAACAGATTAATGAGAGCAATGAGAGTGGCATCTCTCATTGAAAAGGTCACATAGCGAAAAATAAAAATTCTCCCGACTTCGCTGCCATGCCCTGTCATGCGCTGCGTCGGATAATCGCATAAAGCTCATTAAAAAGGTTCGATATTTGGCAGTACTCATGTTATGCGCTGCAGTGCTTAACTCTGAAGTCATACCAAGCAAGTCATACAAGTCTACCACATCAGCAAAATTTACCAAATACCGAAAAGCTTCTTGCTGGAACCATCTGCCATTCAAATGCTGCAGATGCAATAATAATCTTCTTTTAAACTGCCAATTCTGCGGACATCCAACAAGTCCAAGTAAAAAAATATATATATATTTTGAAACCGGCAGTTAAAGAGTCAAGCGTTGTTGTTGTTGTTGTTGTTGTAACAACCTGCCACAGGTGGAATACCTTAACGAAAGATATTCAGCTCATAGCCGCAGTGTCCGTATATACATACATGTGCCTATCGCCTTCGCTATCTTACAGTTAATACTCACCACAAGTTTGGCTTCCGGTGGCGCCTTTATGACAATTATTATCTGATCTTTAAACAGATCGACACTTTTCAAATCGGTATGCGTCACATAGGCCAATTGATTGTTATTCGATATTTCGGTACTGAGCTCCTCACGTATCTGATCTATTAACATATTCAATTGATTCTCCTTTTGTTCGAGTCTTTCATTCTCTAGCTGCATGTCACGCGTACGCTCTGAGCTCACCAGCGAGTTGCCGCATTTCCATTGAATATTGTTCTTCGACTTCTTCTCCAATATGCCAATACCCTCCAGCACATTCGTAATATCGTAGATGCGTCGCTTTTGCACCAGCAATTTGGCTGACGCATCGTTGAGGTCTACGACACCGTCCGGTGAGCCTTGCAGCAAATCGACGAATTTTTTCGTCAATATGCCCAGTGAGGTGTCGGCACGATTACCTTCGGGTGTGCGTTTCGAGGCGGGTAATGAAGAGGCGGATGAGGTTGTGCCCGTTTTGTAAGCAAACGTCGATGAAGTCGACGAGGCAGACGATGGCGGGCGTTGTGGTTGCGGTGAAGGTGTGGCGAAATGCAAAGTCGACGCCACCGCCGCTGTTGCCATCACATTTTGATGTTGCGAGCTAGCTAAGCGGTTGTTGTTGTTGTTGCCGCTGCTGCTGCTGCTGCTTGTGCGCACCAACACCGGTTGCTTGGTGGATTTGTGTTGGAATTGCTGTGAGCGCGGTGGCTGTTGTTGCACCACCACCACATTGCTGGGCGCAAAATCACCGGCGGACGCTGACTGATGTTTGGCTTGCTTCTTGGGATGACTACTTTGTTCGGCAACAGATGTGGGGTTGCGTCGCTTCACTTGCTGCATGAACGACATGGAATGAGGTGAAAAGAAAAGAAATACATTAATTAGCACAAGTTATACATATAGTTGTGCAAGTAGGTTGCTCACCTTATAGTACTCCGTTATGTGTGGTGTGGAATCGGCGCTATTTCGGCTCGCCAGCGTGGACGTGTATCTGCCGGTGAAGTGAGATGTCACCGCCGCTGTAGCTGGCGTCGACGTCGTTGCGGACGACGCTGACGTCGATGAGGTTGACGATGCCTGCTTCAGCGTTACACCATAGCCATGATCCAACAGATGCGTCGCAAGTGGCACTGTTGTAGCGCTGCTGATGACTTGCGTCTTTCCACTGCCCTGCATCAGCATCGAAACAGGTGATGACGAGCCAGACGATGATGATGACACAAATGCCGAATTTGAATTGCGCTTCGTACTGCTGGTGCCGCTGGTGCTAACCATGTCGTAGGAGAGTTGCCGCACCGCTGACTTGACAACCATTTGTGGCGTACCATTATTGCTGTTGGTATTGTTGGTATTGTAAGCGCTGCCTGTTGCTGACGTTGTTGCTGCTGTAGCTATGAAATATTTGGGCATGTTTGTGCAGTTTGTCAGTGGGTTTGGACGTTTGAGCGCGGCGTCTTACTGCCTTTCAGCGCAGCGCGACTGGAAGACAGAGGCAACAACAACTACGTGCGGTTTTGTGTGTATATGTGTGTTTCTCTTTCTAGGCTCCAAATTGCGGCACCAGCTTATGCGGTTTCTTCTGCTGAGCTTGTTGGCTTGCTGATTTGTGGACTTGCAGCTTGCCGCCAAAAAAGCTATACATTAATTTTAAACTAGATTTTTTCTTTTAACTTATTTCGTTTTTTTTTTTTTTAATGTATTATGTACGTTGTTTGCTGCTTTCGTTTTGCTTTGTTTAGTTTTAGAAACTCTTTACTTAAAAAAATATATGTATGTAGACTATTTTGTTTTACTGTATTTTAAATGTGATATTCACTTCTTATTTCCAAATTTATGTGCACTGCTTCTGCTTTGCTTCTTTATACATATTACTTTTATTTTGGCTTTGCTGGCTTAATTAAGTTTTCTTTTTTCTCCTTTTTCTAGTTTCTACTATCGGCTTTCGGATTTCTACTTTTTGTATTCAGTGCTCAAAATCTCCTTTTTTTACGTGTTCTTTTGTTGCTCTGTGTGCATTGCTCTGGCACTTTCTTTGTTGCTTAGTCTTACTATTTCCGCTTACTTCAATCACCTTCGCTCGCTATGTCATTCGTTCGTGGCGAGACAGAGAGCTTTGAATTTGTTTAATTACTAATTAAAAAACTTTTTGCTTCTTCATTGATTTAGTACTTTTTAGTTCGAGTGCGTTCTTATGTACTCTTCTTCTTCCTTTCCGTTGAAATATGTACGTAGTTTTTTCTTTGTGATTGTGGTTGTTGTTGTTGTTGCGGCTGATAACTTTTTATTGTACATAAAATTTTCTTATTTACTAAATTAGCACCTAAAGATTCATTACATCTGAAATGGAAAAAAAGAAAAAGAGAAGATTTAGGCGTGAAAGTTTAAATGAAAAAGTAAATGTAGACAAGGGTATATTTTTTATTAGGTGTCAGTGTTGCCAACCGGGAGAGAATTCCTCGATTTTGAAGGAATTTGAATTTCTCGGTGGAATCGGAGAATGACTTTAAATTTTGAGGAATTCAATATACAAACGATTTTGATTTGAACATTCCTATTGTGGATAAAATTGCATTTATAAATTACAAATTGTGGTAACAATCTCTCATTTTGTATCGCGGGTTCGAAACATTACGTAATTGCCTCGTGCAACCATGTCGATATTAAAGAAATTGCAACTTTGTATAGCGACTTTTTTCACTTTTTTCACGTTTTCGTTTGACACTCTCTTTTCTCGTTTCGTTTTCGCCACCAAGCCATCGTACTAGCTTTTTATATTATAAACAAGAAATGTTGAAAAGACTGTCCTTATTACATACTTTTTTTCAATAAAAAATGAAGCGCCTTCAATATGTAGCAAAATACATTTTGGGGGAATTTCATTGAGAATAGGGGAATTTTTTAAGGAATTTCGGGGAATTAGCCCCAGGGGAGTTGGCATCCCTGTTAGGTGTACACAAAAAAGGGTGGCAGCTATGTTCGTTCACAAAAGAAATGTTACTAAAAGGTAGCATACAAAAGTTGTTGCATATTTCACGGGGAAATATTAGTTTTTTATCTTCTGTTGACCTTTACGCTTTTTGTATAAAGATTTTGTCTGAGTATACACTGGTGAAATTTTGCGGCGGATAATTTTCTAAAACATTCCAACCCCCTTAGCGACCTCCCAAATTCCATTTTATTCAGACTTTGCAAAACAGGGGTCAAAACGACCCTTGCGGTAGAGCGAGAGAGAAGAGAGGTTAAAATGCTCTACAAAACTATTCCTCGTGAAATAGTGAAACTTCTTAAGATTAATTTCTCGTATATTTTTCAGGAATATTTAATTAACATGGCAAGTGTCGCCGCTAAAGGAAAGAAAATAGGTTTTTTTTCAATGAAACATCTTTTGAATCTTGAGAAATGACCAGTCCCATTTGTCGTAGAAAAATTATTGATTCGTAATTCGGAAAATTTGCAGTCAGAACTGTGGTCAAGTTTTTACAAGGTTTAACCTGGACCAATGCATTTCAAATCGGCCAATGGATGAATTTTCGTCAGAATTTTCCTTTTATCATATCTGCCAAAGGAAAGAAATTAAATTTTTTTTCGAAAGTTATGCAAATTTAGAAATTTCACAACTTCCGGGATTTTACAAGTTTATTTTAGAATATCTCAAAAAATTATTATAGTCATAAAAACGGTTCTGGTCTCGTTCTAAAAGTGGTGTAAAGAAAAAACATACAAAAATAATAAAAAATTTGAAAATTACAGAATTTCGAAATAAAAAAAAAAAAATTTATATGTAGAAATTAGTAAAAAAATTTGGAAATTAAATTAAAAAATATTTATATACACTACCTCCAACTGATTTTAAAAGACTCAACTTTTCAACGTGTTCATTTAGGATATGAATTTTTGAGCTTTGAAGCAATTATTATTTTTTTTTGCAAACCCCAAATGAAATTACGTTGAACAGTTTTTATTTAATATAGAATTAATTTTCATTTAGAGTTTGTAAAATTTCGTTATATGATAAAGAAAAGTTCTGACCAAAATTCGTCCACATAAAAAATGGTCGATTTGCCACGGCAAGACTCACATGTAAAAATTTGGCCTTCATTATTTTAACTTTATACTTCTTTTTAAATTTTTTCCTTAGGAAATTTTCGGGAATTGGTATTAATACTTTTCAAGATCCTACGGGTTTTTTGCGATTTTTCAGAAATTTTCTGGTTCAACGCTACATTTGAACTTCAAATTTGCTATTAGTTTACTACATTTTTTTTTTTTACTTTTTACCATAAAATGGATTTCCCGCTACGGTCTGAAAATCTGTGTAGTCCCCACCCTCTATTGGTCGACGATGGGACAGTTTAACTTTCGACAAACATTTTGCTCAATTAAATAGCCTTAACTTAAAGTATTAACCTAAAAAATGAAATTAACGTCAGTTGGCACAGAAAAGAAACGACTGGCGTGCCTTATTTGCGGTTATAGCGCCAAACAAGAAGAAGAAGAACACCAAATGAGCTACTTCATTTCAACCGAGATTTCTTCTAATCTTACAATAAAGTTCGTCTAAAAAGCGAATTCGCTGCAATCGTCTAACTGGTTCTCTACAAATATGTTTGTATGTATGTACACTAGGCGACATATGAAAGTGTACACCTTGTTCTAATATAATATTCACAATTATTTTTATGAAATTTTTTTTGCATTAATTATTTATGAAAATATAGTTCACTCTTCTATTACATAAACCGTATAAATCAAAGTTTCACATTTTATATAAAGTTCATAAAAATTAAAAAAATTTTCAACTTTTTATTCAGAATTTCTAGAAAATTTTCAAGTATGCAGTTTTGCAGCACATCAAGTTTCAACCTGTTAAAATATTGCGTTGATTTTTGAGATATTTTTTGAGACAGTTTTTGCGTTTTTTTTTTTATACAACAAGTGCAATTTACAAAAGCTGGCGTTGAATTCTTGAAATCTTGTTGCTAACGGTCTACCGTATATGATTTCATAAGAAATTTATGCTCATATGATAAAAAGTGCAAAAATCCGTAACCAAAAAAAACTTTTCAAAAATCAACGGGATTTTTTAGCCGTTTGAAACTTGCACTTCCCTAGACTAAAATTGAATACTCGAAAATTTTCTACAAATTCTGTATAAAAAATTGAAAATTTTGATAAGATTTTTTTGAATTTTCGTGAACTTTATATAAAGTATGAATTTTTGATTTGTATGGTTTATATAATAGAATTAACTATATTTTAATAAATAATTGATGCAAACAATTTTTCATGAGAAAATAAGGGTAAATATTATATTAGAACAAGATGTACACTTACATTTGTCGCCTAGTGTATATAACAAATGTTGCTTGCTTCTCGTTTAGCAAGTCACATAAATTTTAATGTTTGTTTTCTTTTTTTTTTCAAGCTTACAATTTATGCTTGCTCCATTGTTGTAGATATGAAAAGGGCATAGCCTACACTAAAATTCATACTTTCCTTCCTGCTAATTAACATGCGAACGATACTTAGCAACATTTGAGTGTCTTCCTCCACCTTCGACTTCGCCATTGGCTTGCTGACTCGCCAATATGTACATATACGGACTTACATATGTATACATATATGTTTATGCCACTCATATATTACTCATTCCCCAACGTCTTACAACCAACTACATACAATAGTTAACTGCCTGTCTGAGTTGGCTGACCTCTTATTCACGTTAAAGTGGAGTAGTACTACATATTTTAAAGCCGATGCGGGACTTCTAGTCGCTGACTTCACAACTACATACATACATACCTAGTTATGTTCTTATTGTTTTCTTTTCCTCCCCTGCCACTTGTTTCTCCTTGCTAATATGTACATATGTACGTCGTTATGTATGAGCGGTGCACAGAGCTTAAGTGGGAATTCTCATTGTTAGATTGCCGTTGCTGCGTCTGTCTGCTGCTGGTCAAAGTGAGTCCACATTCACACTATTCAATTATTTCTATTTATTTTTATTAAGCTTTTTTCGTTAGCATATGTATGTGTTTTTTTTTGCGCTTTCACACTCATAAATATTGGATTGTTGCAAATTTCGCCATGCAAATGAAACGGCAAAATAAAATGACTTCAAAAGGAACTTAAAATAAATATGTATATGTATAAGCAATAAAATAATAGCAGCGGGGGAAAACAGTTCATGAGCTCAAACTAAGAAAAAAAAAAAAAAAAACAATAAATAACTAAAAAAACAAAAAAACGAGCCATGAAAACGAGTATTTCAACGGCAATCGTAAAATAAAAAGAATGCTTGTTCCCATGTTAATTGCTTTATGGCATTTAAATAATAATCGCGTTAAAATGAACTGTAGTTTTCTTTTTTGTATATTTCTTTAGATTTTGTGTTTGTTGTACATTACTTAGCTTAAGATTACATACATACATATACATATATATACACAAATGTACTTATATTGGTTACGATAACAGCTTGATGTCTTGTTTATGTACGTATGTATGTACTACTGCTACATTAACGCGAATATCGTTGTCTATACTCTATTAGTATGCAGAGTGTATTTCTATAAATATATAATTAATTTTTTTTTTTATTATGTCGAGGCAATTTAAATAGTTTTGCAATTTATTTGTTAAGACCCCTTTCGCAGATATTTGTAGGTCAACGTTCATTATTTTTCAGTTAAATAAATACAAAAAGCCGTTGATTACTTAATAAATCGCCACATGTTATGTCTTTAGTTTCGGTTGCGAAAAAATTCACCTGCGATTACGAAATCGTAATGCTCATTAGACATTTAACAGTTAACAGCTGTGAGCATCAGTGTGCCGCGGCGACATCATGAAAAAATGTGTCGTAAAAAAGCAATAAATGGATCAATTGTATCACTAATTTTTTTTAAGTATCAAAGTATCAAGTTAGAAAAAACCTTAAAAAAAAAAATGCTATTTGGTTTCACATCTTTGCTTTTTATTATTGTCAATAACCAAAAAATCATGTAATGCACATTTATACACATACATATGTATGTATGTACAGTGAACAAAAATATCTTAGATATACTGGTAGAAACTTGAATACAAATATACATATGTATATATGTACTTAAAACTATTAACTGTCGATCATTTGTGTTGATTATCAAATTATGTGTTACATTCCACGTTAAACTCGTTGGAAATTATGTCAAAAAGATGAAACTACCTTCAGTGGCGTTTTATTTTGACTATGAATACGCCCCGGTATATTCTCAACAGTTTGCCTATGTATGAGGCAAGCAAAGTAAATTAAAAATGAATGCAGTCAACTCATTATACATAGTTCGTTTAGAGTATTTTTCATTAAGCTTATTTGACCCCAAAACGTTTAATATTTTTGATCAAATTTTAAAAGCTGTCACTGCATAAGTACATATCGTACACGATCTTCAAAAGTGACACAACTCAAAATTTGATATTTTTGAAATTATGCACTAAAATTTTTTGTTATAATTTGTTGAAAAAAACCTAAGACAAAGTCTTTCTTGCCCTTGTGCTAAGAAATAGTTTATCGCATTTTCTGACGAAAGTGATATTTTGAGTTGTGTCTCTTTTTAATACGGTGTGCGATATGTATATAATTTTTTTTCTTTCTAATTTATCAAAATTGGTAGCATCTCGCAAAATGAACGAAAAAATAAAGTATCTTCCTAAATTTGCACAAACACTGGTGGGCATATTATGTACATTAGAGTGCATTACTCTCCATACAAAAAAAAAATAAAAAATCGGTAATGTTTTCCCATCGGTATTATAAAATTTATTATATTTTAAGACTTGTGCCAAAATAATTCGAAAATATATTAAGATTTACGTAAGCTGGGCCGAGTTGAAAATACCTCCAAATATAGAGTTCAAATGGGCGTGACGTGACCACTCTGCCTTTCTCAAAATTTTTCGAAACTGGTTACCAGTGAAAAAAAACGTTTAATTTTTTAAATCACTGCGCCGCATAAAAAGTTCTAATTTCGAAATATGTTGAAATATATGAAACTATATACATATGTTACTATTTTATAAGAAAACCATACTAGTCCCAAATAGATTGTAAAACCAAATTTAATAACAAAAAAAAACTAGTGTTTATTTTCAAAAATCGGATGAAAGTTTACTGAATTATTAAAACTTTTATGAAAACAAAATTTTTGCAAAAATATTATTTTTAACTATACTACTCAAAAATGTTTTCTTTCCCGTTTTTTTCTAACTCAAAATCATCAGTTTCTCGTTGAACTGACCAGCATTTTTCTGATCATAAACGATCGGAATGAAAAAAGAAATCGGATTGTAGCTATTTCTTGGTGAAAGTGTTCGCCTTGTTCATCACTGAACTGGCCCAAATTATGTGGGAAGAAGTCCAAATGCAAATGAAGCAAATGAATTTTTATGGACATGCTAAATCGCATTAATTAACAACCGTGACATAGTCGTCGCTCTTGTGGTTTGTTGTTTCAACGATGGATTTCTGGCATAACCGATGATGAGGGAATCGAACACTGTGCCCATACCAGCACCTGTTTGTATTGGAAGTTTTCGCAAAAGAAATAAAACAATGTACGCCCCAATATAAATAAATGGGCAACTAAAAGCGAAAGAAAGTTGATGAAAAGCAGAATTTCTATAGTTTTATTTATTGACAATCAGTCACAGATTAGTCTGAATTGAGTTCTACATAGAATGCAGCAAGCACATCGCACTAAAATTGCTGGTCACAAAGGATTTCAATGAATACTAGACTAGCCCGAAAGCTTGTCTAGCATTCAGAATTTCTTGTCCCTTTGCCTCTTAATTATACAAGTTTCCTGCTAGAAAATAAATCGGTTTAAGTTCACACGCACCACAGCATGTTTGATTTGAACTTTGACCAACTCTCAGACCTTCCCGAGGCGATATTAGAGTAATCTACATTCTATCAAGACACAAGCAGCATTTCCAGAAAGAAATGTGAAAGGCAATGATAGAAAATACTCGTATGTGAGCCCCAGATGCTAGATTGCAACTGACTGATAAAAATAGAAATATTCGACAGAATTTACTGCATTTTTCCACTACAAACTTTCTTTTGCTTTTGATGTTAAGAAATATTTTTATAATCTTCCAATACTAACCGGAGTCGGCGACACCGACTGTTACAGCACCAGCACCAATGAATTTAGCAACTGAATCAATGTCACGAATTAGTGGAGAGGTCTGGCTTATATGGTAAATGTTATTCGATTCCAGTGAAATTCGGTTTGTTATTTGGACTAAATAAGCCAGAAAGACAGATTGCATACCGTAAAAGAGTCACAACTCAAAATAATACGTCGGTCAGAAAATGCGAAAAAACTATTTCTCAGCACATGATAATCATATGGGCAACGGCGACTTTACCTTAGGTTTCTTTTTAACAAATTATAACAAAAATTTGCTTCAGCTTTTGCTGAAAGGTAAATAAAAGCTCTGCGTACCTTTTTAGCGCATATTCTCAAAAATGCCAAATTTTGAGTTGTGACTCTTTTGAGTTTTAATGTGGCAAGGACTAAAGTTTTCTACACATATGCATTTGTTCTTCAGTGATAGTAGCAGCGATGCAATAATTGAATCAATCCGACAAAATTATAAAATTGGAAAAATTTTGCGAATTTTTTTTTTTGGGTAAGAACAGATGAGAAAAAGTAATGCCTCATGGCATCCTTTCCGGTTAACGTAAAAAAATAAAAACGAAAAAGATTTGGTATTTTGTTGGCTTTGATTTTAGTTAAAAAATATTTATATTTATAGGGATTGAAGAAAACATTATTAATCCTTAGGGTAATAATCGAGGAAAGAGTAGTTGACACTTTAACAGCAAAAAAAAATTTGCATTTAAATCGTTTGCATAAATTTTCCGAATTCAAACCGAGATCCATTGCTCCTCTTCAGGATATACATACATATATTATATATTTCAGTAGGGATAAAATCTGAATCATTATACTCATCGTTCATGAAAAAAACACTGTTATGTTTATCTTTATTACATTCAATAGTGTTATTAAGCTTTGTTACAAGATTTTTGACTTTTAGAAAAAATAGTCTAAGCGGTAGAAGTTATAGCTGCTATTCAGAGAACACCACATCTCCTCATCAGACTTCACAAAGTTCACAAAAATTAATTAAACTGAAAAAAAATCCATCAAAACTTGCAAACTTTTTATTCAGATTTTTTAGAAAATTTTCGACAGCTAAAGAATTCATCAAATTAAAATCAAAGCAATTTTCCAAAGTCTTGAAACTTCCACTTACTGCCGGTTTCACGAAAGAAATTTCAAGTAAAAAATTATTTTTTTTTTGTGACAGTTTCCATATGGAATTCACGAAAAAAAGTAATAATTTTTCACTTTTCAAACGGCTCTCATGAAACTGGCTATAAAAGTGCACACCTAAATTGTTTTCAAAAATTCCGAATAAAATGTTTGAAATTTTTAGGGATTTTAGCGCAAAATTGGCGGAATTGATTCGCTTAACTTTTATAAAAAAAAAATATTTAACATTAGCCAAAACTTGTAAAATAAAAAGTTTCGATTAATTCTTCCACCGGTGCATGTGCCACTATTCAACTATTTTTTTTTATCATACAAATTTTATTAAACCTTATTGAAAGTTTCACAAAGCAAGTAAATTTAACTATTAGGCAAGAATTTCATTACAACAACAAGCACACCACTTCAACATAGAGGAGTACAACATAAAAAGCACTTACCCGCGGGCGACACATACGTTCTAATTTGACAAATATTTGTTCGTAAGTGTAAATCTTTTTGCACAACTTAAAACTTACCCAATTTTATTTAGTTACTTATTTATTTTTTTTTATTTTTAATTTATTTGTTTAAATTCACTTCTTAATTTATGCAGCTGCCGCCCTACTATGTGTACTACGGCCAATGAAACCTTCCGACATAAACGTTCGAGTAGTTATGTACATATATACGTACATACGTATGTACACGTATGCGTATTTGCCATTTCGATTTGGCTTTGAAAATAACGTTACTTTCGATAAAGCGCTAGTTGATCGTTTTTTTTTGCGCTTTTTTCCTTAGCAGACCGTTCCATATACGAATGTATGTACGAATGTTCCCCCCTAAAAACTACAATACTATTAGCATATTTTTGTACAATTAGAGTTTATTGACATTTCAGCAAACAAATAAGAGTAGGAAGAAAAAATGCGGTAGTCGTAGGAATTGGGGGCAAAAAGGAAAAACAAGAATAACCAATAGTCAGCACTATGTGTTTTTGCCTTAGCTTAAAAAATGTTGGAATTGAAGAGGCAGAACAATTCTGAATTGAACAAAACAAAAACAAAGACGAATGCAATAGCGCCACTAACGAAAAGAAAAAATTTAAATAAAAAAATAGATATTGAATGGTGTGTGCGACAGGAAGAGCGTAAAAAAATACCAAAAATCAGAGTATGTAGAACAAACACCATGTGTATACGCATTAGGGTGGCCCGAAAAAAAGGTTAAAAAATTAAGCTCTTACCCCTGCGAGTTTTTTTTTTTTTGTTAAATGAGTTTCTTATGTTAAAATTTTTTAATACTACCGATTTTTTATGGGGTACCACACAGCATTTTTTGGGGTTTTCGGGAGACCTATAAAAAAGTAGTTGATATTAAGAAATGGTTAATTAAAAAATTTCTCTCAAAGAGAGACAGGTTTTTCCCATCAAAAAATATTAATTTTCAAGAAGTCTATACCATTTCTACCTAAAATGTTTTTTCCTCAAATAAAATACTGGGTTTTGAAGCAGTTCTAAATTTTATTTTTTATTCTGACAAAAACCTACAAACCCTAATATACATATGTATGTACATTATGTATGTATTATTTTGGTATGTCTAGGTAAGTGGCCAAGCAAATGTGAGGAATGTTAAATGGCTGCTTTAGTTTCATCTTAGGCAAAGTTTCAACACGCTCTTTAATTCACTTTTATTGAAAGGAAGTGTTTGAATTTCGAATTCACAAATCAAAAAAATAAAGTGTTAAGTAAAATAAAAAATTTAAATAAATACGCAATTTTTACGAAAAAAAAAACAACTGGCTTCAAAATTTAGGACTGCCGTTAGTTAGATTCTGTATGATTCAATGATCGGAACTAAACCAAATTAGTATGGCATGGTACCCCCTTTAAGGTACATGCATAGCAACAAAATATTCCGGCGAATTGATAACCTCCCCCTTTTTTTAAATCGGTCGGCCCGATAGATGGCATTAGCTATAGGTTTTTCAGTAGTCAGCATACCATGGCCAGGTGAGATATGGAGTGAGTTTACACAAAATACAGCGAAAAGCCCCTCCCTTTTCTGATTTAACTCCTTACGCGTGTTTTTTCATGGGGGTTTTAAACATCACCCTCGAACCCTGCAAGAACAGAAGGGAAATCGCAAAGAATTCCCCAAGATATGCTGGCCAGAGCTGCAGATAACTTTAAGGGACACCTCCAAATATGCTACTCACGCGAGAGAAAACCCAGTTTATCAGGACCTTGGTGACGGTTTTTGGCCCGTATTTCACGAATGCGGCTTGATATTCGCCTTAAGTGCCTGAATCGTCCGTCAATAGATTTTTCGCATAACATCGGCCTCTCCCGGTACCCCATAAAAAAAAGGCCAATTGACATCGCGGAGCCGGCTGAAACACGATTACCGAATTTGGCGCGCTAAAAATCGAACGTGGCATGGGCTGCGCGCCATCCTGCCGAAACCAAAGATCGTCGAAGTCCAAGTCTTCAATCTCCGGCCATAAAAAAAAGCGTTTATCATGCCTCTGTAGTGCTCACCGGCGACCGAAATGGCGTTTACAGCAGCAATTTCAAAGAAAAATGTGCCAATGACGCCACCGCTCCAAACTGTCACTCTCTGAGGATGTAATGGCTTCTTCGCGATCTCGTGCCAGTTTTCCGCCCCTTAGATGCAGCAGCTTAACATAGCCTCTTCTTCTTCTTTTTTGGCGCTGTAACCGCCTAAACGATTTTGGCCGAGTTCAAAAAAGCACGCCAGTCGTTTCTCCTCTGTCCAACTGACGCCAAGTGAAGCCAAGTCCTTCTCCACCTGATCTTTCCATCGCAGTGGGGGCCTCCCTCTTCCTCTGCTACCACCAGCGGGTTCCGAGTTGAATACTTTCAGAGGTGGAGAACCAGTGTCCTTTCGAACGACATGGGCAGGCCAGCGGAGCCGCTGACTTTTTAATTTGCTGCATTATGTCCATATCGTTGTAAAGCTCATACAGCTCATCGTTCCATCGTCTGCGGTACTCGCCGTCGCCAAAGCGTAAAGGACCGTAAGTCTTCCGCAAAATCTTTCTCTCAAACAGCCGCCGATATGGAAATAAGCTCCGTCAGATAATACGATTTTTCGAGCAAAATCGTTGTGCAACAAGTTTGCATTATTTCTCATTTCTGACTTTATAATTAAAAAAATGTATTTGCATTCATGTAGATATCCTGAAAAACTGGTATTTTGCACTGGGCTAATCCGTTCTGCTAAGTGTCAAAAAGGTGCAGAGAAAAAAGATGCCGCCCACACGGCCACGCCGCGATCGGACGCAACGCAAGCCATATGGGACCGTTATAGGGAGGTGAAGAGGGAAGCGAGACGTATTTGCCGCAATAAGAAGAGAGAGGCGAAGAGCTTGAAATGCTGGCCGACAGGAAGAATGCCCGAAAATTTTACCAGAGGGTTAAGCGACTTACAGAAGGTTTCAAGACCAGGGCGTACTCCTGTAAGAACAACAATATCGACCTAGTTACCGATGTTCAGAACGTACTTAAATTATGAAGGGAACATTTTTCCAACCTACTGATTGGTAGCAGCACGGAAAGTTGTGTAAAAGAAGAACCCGAGCCCCGAGTCGATGATGACGGAGTCGATGTTCCACCGCCCGACCATGACGAGGTACGAATAGCAATAACGCGGCTGAAAAACAACAAAGATGCTGGAGCTGACAGCCTGCCCGCTGAGCTATTCAAGTACGGCGGCGACGAGTTCAACTCTTATGCAAAAAATGGGCAGATGACCGCATGCCCGACGACTGGAATTTAAGTGTGCTCTGCCTAATCCACAAGAAAGACGACCACGCCATTCGCGTCAACCCCCGCGGGATCAGCCTTCTAAACATAGGTTACAAGGTATTATCGAGTGTATTGTGTGAAGGACTGAAGCCAAACGTTAACGAACTGATTGGGCCTTATCAGTGTGGCTTTAGACCTGGAAAATCAACCATAGACCAGGTAATCACAACACGCCAAATCTTGGAAAAGACCCGCGAAAAAAGGATAGACATTCTCCACGATTAAAATCCGCTTTCGTTAGCACTAAAAGGAG